GTTAATATTACATTTTGTTAATATTTTATAAGATCCAACAGAAATCTTGACATTTCAGTGCTATAGTGGGATGGTATCTAAACCATTTTGCAAAGAAACATAAAAGCCAAAATTAGGATGGATACTTTAAAAAATTATAAAATATAGCTAAAAAGAAAGCAACAGAAATTCTCTGAAGTTGACAGCCATGCTTTAAATTCAAGTGAGATTTGGAAAGAAATGGAAGGGGGGAAAAAATCAGGAATATTGGATTTAATTTCTCAGATGAAGAGGGATATATAATCTAGCCAATAGAAATATACTCACAAACCTGTACTTTACACAAGTACACAATGATAGTAAATATTGCATACAATCTTTGATAGGGAGTAAAAAGAATTTATACTGAGGAGCCAAAGTTGGGGAAAGTTCTAGAAATTCACATTGAAAGTCTGAATACATTCTGAATAAGTCTATATGAAGAATCCTACCTCTTGGAAAATGTTTAATACTAACTCAATGGGACAAAAAGACTCCAAAGTTCATCATTATTAAATAGGTACATCATCATTTTATGAAAGACTATACTATTGGTGTATTCTTCAACTAAGTTGGCTCGTTTGATATTACGCCATTAATGGCAAATAAGCTAATTTTGAGACCAGACTTGGTAGCTAGACAAATTATGTTGAGGGTTACTTAAACAAATGGTTACTTACATACACCAAGAAATGGCAGTATTGTGTAATGTTTTGATTTCCATCACTCCCCCTCAGCCATAAAGTGTTTAATTTAGAAATAACTTCTTAGTGTAGAAATTACATTTCTCTAATATTCTGGTTCTCGTAACCATTTTTTTTTTACAATGAGAGATCTTCAATAGCAGAATTGCACTATTGAAATTGTTCCAGTGATGTGCTTCTGGAAGTATAAATTCAAATATTATTTCCTGCTTCCATAAAATTCCTGCTTCCATGAAACCCTATTTACAAAAAGAATAATATGTACTTCAAAAGAAAAAAAAGAAAACTTAAAAGTTACAGAGGATCAAAGGCATATTTAAATAAATATTTAGCGAAAAGTACAAAAAAGAGGAATAAACCAAAAAATATACTGATGAAAATTTTTAAATAATTGAGTGTATTCACAAATGAAAAAAATGATGAAGAACTTTACACTAAAAGGGGATGTAGGAGGAAAACCACCTTATTCTAAATTACACTAATATATTTGGAAACAGTGGGAAACCAGATTTCTGTTTCATCAATGAATACCACATTTTTAAATTTTAAATTGCAGGTTACGTCAAATTAACAGCAATTATGCTATTAAAGCTAGCAAATAAACCGCATGACTATAGCTCACTATTAGGGATGGTGCAAAAATGTGAAGAAAAGTGCTCAAAATGATAATGTTTCTTGTTAAAAGTATCTCCCTTTATTCTGAACCTGGTTGAATATCTGCTGAGCTTGGCCTAATTCAAAATGGTGTCGGTAGCCCATCCCTGCCACCATCTTGTTCTTTCTGGCAGTCTTCCTCACATTTCTCAGGCAACTTGATAAATAGATTTTTTTTGCTGTTTTCTTAAATATTAAATAGTAAAGTACCATCTCTGATGTTCTTGAGTAATGAATATGTATTCCCCCCAAAGATGAATGGATTATTTCAGGGATGTATATAGTACAACTGAATACATTCAGTGGATAGTAATAGACAAAGCATGGATTCATGAAGTACAGAAGTTTAAATTGAAAAATTTTTAAAAGATTCTGAGCACTTGAATTGTCGCCCTTGCTACTTGCTGGATATATTAATTTTTCTGTAAAATCCATCATGCAGTTTTCTGTGCACCCACACATATTTCCTAATCGTGATCTCAGCAGAATTTTAACACTTTCATTTAAATCTGATTTGGGCCTTACAGAAAGTCTAAGAAATTCAGCACAGGGGTTGGTATGTGTGTAATGAGGGAAGTCAACAGTTCATCAAGACATTATCTGAAATATGACATTTTACCTCACGCCTACTTGGGAACAAAATGTTGAAATTTATATTAGGATAGACAGACTCACTGAAGTAGTGAGAAGGACAAGGAAAGCGTGATACAAAATGGTGGATTATAGCAAATGCACAGTAATATGAGGAGTAATTACTGAAGTAAAAGACAACCTTGCAAAACATCAAGAACTGAGAAATACTGTTTGTTCTTAGGGTTATAAAGATTTTATCTAGGAGACAATGGGTTTTCTAGCGAATAGATTATTGGCAAAATTGCAAACAAAAAAGAGAGGTTCTGCATTTGCAAAGAAGATTTTTTCCCCGCAACTAAAGCAAGCCCTCCTAAGAATGAGAGAAACTAGAATCAAAATCTATCCTCAATATTACTATAACAATGGGAAACAGGGAATCTAGAAAGAATTAATGAAATATTCCATGTTTCACAGTTTTCAAAAGCAGTTGTTGAAGCTCTACACCCAACACGTGCTTTTCGTAAGCAGAGCTAAGATATCTTTCTGTGTGTTGCCCTGAAAAATTGTTATTAGCAGAAAAAAAGTTTTGTTAACAGTACAATGTTTACAAAAATGCAGTTGCTTATTGATGGAATTTTTTATTTTCAGAGAAACAAAGTCTGTTGTTTTGGACAACAGAGGCCTAAATTAAGCTTGACATAAAGAGGCCAGATTTATCAACACAAATCAAAGACACTAAATTCCATTCCATGTCATTCTTGCATGGCAAATGGCTTATAGTTTGCTGTAGTGTAGTCCATCAAAGTTTATATCAGTAGCAACCAGAGAAAGGTTTTTGATTGTGAAAGGAAAAATTAAGCAAAGTGGGTATTTTGAAAATTTCACCCACTTTTCTTATTTCTGAAAAACATTGTCTATAGATTTCCCCCAATAAAAAACAAATAATGATTTCACATAACAAACCTTGAAGAATATCACAAAACAACCTAATACCCCAAATGATCTTGATGAACCCCAAAATTGTGTCAGCGAAACAAAAAGAAAATTTGAACAAGTAACAAATCATCATTTAAATGATAGGTACAGAACAGATTACAAATAGTTAACACTTACAAAATACTGAGATGAGGATAACATGGCCGAATTCTCCCTCTTCTTGAAGACAGCATATAAATTTCCCCCAATCATTCCTCCAAAGAGCTACTTATTTCTCTATCCCTTTGTTAGCTCTATCAAAATTTATGTTCCCAGAAAGGGGCATTTCTTGCAATGTCTTTCAGCCTTGCAAAACTAGACAATCTTAGCAGGGGCTGCCATGTTGAATTGCAAGTCTGATATGATTCAACAATTTTCTTTCCCTTGCGTAGGGTGGCAAAAAAAAAAAAAAAAAAACCTTAGCTTCCAATTACCCAGAATCAAAGTATTTTGAAAAATAAAAATAAAATCCTAATTAACAGCCAGGAGAAATAATAAATAATAAAGCCCACCAAGTTGGGTTGGTTTAAACAAATGGAATATTTTAACATAAAAAGCGAGAAGAATGGAGGAGGAAAGAAAGGATGTAGGAGTAGCAAGTGCCAAGCACTTGGACAAATGAAATGACATTTTAAAATATTTTCAAAAGAGCTACATTTGATTTCGTACCAGAAAAAGATGTGCCGGGAAGGAGAAAGATTTTTCTGCTCAGTAGCCGCTGGCTTTAACTTCGATGATCTGGACAATCATAAGGAATGGTTTCTTTTTTCAAGAAAGGCCAGTTTCAGTGAAACAGTTCCCCCCCCATGCGTTCCCTTTTCCTTCTCAGAGCAGTTCAGCGCCAAGAAATGGGCGGTGCCTGCATGCCAGGCTTCATCCGAATGAGATGCCAAGGCTGACAAGAGGCTGGCATAAAGAGAAGCTGGCACAAATTCCTCCACTTGGAACTCCACTTCAATATACCCTTCAAATAGTCTCCCTTTATTAGCAAACTGGAAAAAAAAAAAACATGGAACCCACCCCCTCCCAAGCAAATACCTCTAAAGTTTCTCAGTCTCTATTGAGAACCATTTCCAAAGCATAATTTCCATCCAATACCTATTCTTTCAACCCATGCCAGTTTAAACAAGAAGCTCATTCTCTCTTCTCTCTGTGTTAGCAGCCTAAGATATGTACATAAAATAAATGTTGACTTCTACTTTCCTAACTTGAGATGTTGGAGGCGGCAAGCTCCTTTAAAACACAGCCAAAGAAGATGAAAGACAAAATGAAACAAAAAGAAAACAAACACAAAACAACCCTCTAATGTTATACAAGAAGCAGTTTCATTTTGCGAAATGTTTCTTTTGTCGGCGGCAAAAATGGAGTTAAGAGGCATAAATGGAGATGAGGATGGTTTAAAAACAAATCAAAGCAAGCAAACAAACAAACTACCGGGATATGCCAGAAGAGGACACCCTCCCTCCAGCTCCCATTTTCCATTTTTTTCTGTGCCAGCCTTAGAGAGAGAGAGAGAGAAAGAGAAGAAATTAAAAAAAAGAAAGCGAGCAAGCGAGCAAGCGAAAGGGGCACTGAATAGCTGCTCGTTCAGAAATGGGCCTACAGCCATTTCCACTTTGGAAGCCTCAGCAGTCGTTCTTTCTCTCTCTCTCTCTCTCTCTCTGTGTCTCGCTCTCCCTCTCCCCACATTCTCCCTGCCCATTCTGGCTTAGCTGCCAAGTCAGAGTTGGCACTGCTTCCCAGGCAGCACGGAACAAAGCCATTTCCCATCCCTGTACAGGCAACTGTCAATAAGCAAAGTGACAGTCACATCTCCTGCATGTTAATCTTAATGGACAGGAGATGTTTGCAAGAGAATAAAAAGCCCCTCCGCCCCTCCAAAGCTGTACAATAAAATCATTTTTAAAAAAATTAAAGGAAAAAGCCTTCTTTGTCGACCCTATTTGGAAGGATCATTTAAAAATACAGCTGTCTGCAACAAGGATTCGAGAGGGAATGAAGGGGGGGGGAAGGAGAAGAGGGTTTACCCACCAACACCCTGGCAAACAAGGCTGCTCTGCATCTGTTGTACCTGTTCCTGTTGCCTTCCTTGCCTCTTGGAATCATGTCAAGAGAGAAAAGTCGCCTCAAAGCTGCGGGTCTGCAGCCCTGTGCAGGAAGTTGGCACCGATCCCAGGTAGGACTTTACTCCCACATTTCTACCCTCCACCCCCTCCTGCTTCTTCCCCTCCCCTTCTTCTTCTTCTCCACCCACCCACCATCTCCCTTGGTAAATTTCACCCTGCTCTTCCTCAACCCTGTACTTAACTTACCTTTCCCCCCTGCACCGCTGTATGCATGGGTGTGCATGCATGTACATTAGGAATCAATTCAGATGCACTCAGGACCCTCTCGAATTCAAGCTAAGAAGCACAAACACCCCTTAAGAGTGACCCGGGTGATAAAGGCAGCAACAGCTTCTTGTCTGCACGAGTTCTCCTACATGCTGTTTCACACATGGGTTGGGTAGTGGTTGGGTTAATTCTTTTTTTTTTTTTTCCATGCTGCCAAGGAGACTGGACAGAACACAAGGGCGGGGGGAATACTCCGAACTCTGTACAGCACAATGAATGGAAAATGTTGAGCTTCGTGAAACTCCCAAATCCAATCCCTCCCTCTCCTCCCCTTTCTGCATTTTTAATACTGCCCGGCTTCTGAATTGTTTTGAGCCCACGGTTGGGAGGGAACATACAGTATGGACTCCCTGCTATTGGCAAGAGTCTTGCTGGGGGTGGGTGGGGAAGAACCAAGTTCTCACAATCAAACAGCGAGAAGAGCAAAGAGAAATTAACATCCAATTAGTGCCATGTTTAACGAAGGAGACAGAGACAGCCGTTGTTTTATTGCTGTGTTCTTTTCTTTTGGATCTGACAGGCAGCGCAAAAGGCACCCCCAGATTGCAGTGACGTCATTTTCTCCTCTCTTCCAAGTTTCACAAAGGTTTGTCAAGTTAGGCAAAAAAAAATTAAGAAGAAAAAAAAATACATTCAAAGCCAAATGTCACAAAAACAAAAAATTAAAAATAAGATTTCTCTTTCTCGCTCTCTGTCTCCCTTTCTCTTTTTTTCTCTCTGTCTATGTCTGTGTGCCTTTGCTTGTTTTCCGGCTCACTCAGCTTGTAAAAGTTTGAGCTGTGTGACACTCCTCCCGGCCTCCTTTGGCAGCGTGACAAGAACTGCTTTGGTGTATCAAAGAGAACAGGCAGCTTTTAAGGAAGGAACTCAATTCAGAGAGATTAAAGAATTCTAATGTTTTAATCAAGGGAAAGCAAGGGGACGGGGGAGCTTTTCCTTACATCTGGTGCAACATAAGTGGCTCTCTAGATGTTGCTCCTGCAATTTAGAATTAAGGGGGTAAAGGAAATGAAAGAACCAAAATGAGCCAGGGAAGTAGCATTAACCACCCCACTGTTTCTCCCTCCATAGTTGTGAATATCCAAGCCTAGTATATGCAGAAATTTTGAAATATTCTTGGGCATCATGGTTGCAGACAAAGTCTTTCCAGTTACACATATGATTCTTACCCATTGGGGGTAAGAACAGAAGCCATTTTACCTAACATTATAGCCATATATTTCTTCCTACGACAGTCCCAGTATCCTCCTATCAACAAGGAAAATAGGATCTTTAATAAAATGCTTTTAATCCTGTAACAAAACAATTGGCAATTTCTCACTTTCTCTCCCTCCCAACCCGCAACCTTTATATCTGGGCCTCTTGTATCCTATCCAAACTGCTGAGAATTGATTTCTTCAGCTTGAAAGAAATGTAGCAAAGCTTTACAAGCACGTTTCCCTGACCAAATTAACTGGACTGAGTGATGTCCCTTGGTGACTAATGGCCGCTGTTATAGCTCAGCAGCCTTTGGAACCAAGCAGAGCCCTCTAGAGGCAAACCTACCAATTCTGGGCTAAAAGAATCCATGTTCAAAAACAGGATAACCCCAGGGATATTTCTGCACTAGGATCATTTTAAACTCTAAGCCATATTGAATATACTGGACAAAAAGCAACATGTAAATGAATACAGTATTCATGTCTCTATTTGAAAAAGAAATGGTCAGCTTCCTTATTCCTACTCCTTCCTTGTTTCCATGAGGGCAAACAACTTTTTGATTTGAGTTCTCCTGTTATGATTCCTTAAGGTAGATTTCATTGTCATGAAAATACAAGCAATCATACTACATGGTTGGTGCTGTGACACCGGGAATAAACTGTGATGCCAGCAACAAGGCCACCAGTCTTTTCTTGCAACGTTCCCCTTTTTAAATCTGGGATCAGGTTTTTGGCTAGATATAGAAATGGATCATGACTTAATAAACATCAGCTGGCAAGAAGAGTACAGTAAAGTTGGTATTGTTAAGAGGAAGAGATCCCAACAATCACAAATAAGTACTGTGTATTCCCCAGATCAATCTTGGGGAGGCAGAAAGAATGCACACTAAACATATCCACTTCTTTATGATCTGTTCTGGGATATTTTTTTAAAAAAAGAATGACTTGGCCTTTGTAGTAAGTAATGGAAATGGTTCAAAGCAACGTGGGCTCTGCCATGACAAACAGCTTTGTAGCTAACCTGAAGTATTTGAAGATAATCTGGAAATATTTAAAATATTTCTTCCTCTAATGTGAATATTGTATTGATACATTTTATTACTTCAGAGTATTATAAAGAAAAGCAATTATAAAAAATTTCCTTTAGAAGTAAAATTAAATAGACCAGAATCTTTTTACAATTTGATTTAAATCAATTTCACAACTCCTGTGAAATTTCTAAGATTAGAGAAGATGCTGGTAATTAGAAAACCTGAGGCAAAAAAAAAAGAAGTTTTGGGGTTATTTGTTTTTGCTGCAGAATGGCATTTTATTTTGTTCTCCATTATTTTTGCATAATAAAACAAGAAGCAATTGCTGATAGGGATGCAAATTGTTTTTGTAATGAATGCAAACCTGAACCGAATGAAAATCATTTGCTCCAGTCTTCATTTGTTAAGAAACAAATGCTATTATTTGTGGGTTTTTGTTGTCTCATTCATACCTATTCATCACTGATTCTGGGGCAGAATGGGGCTTATGCTTCTCTAGTGAAAGCAGCTGCCTTTGGCAGTCACCGTTTTATTTTTTTTTACAATGCCTAAGATATTTTATATCATCCGAAGGCATCCCGTGGTTAAAAAAAAGTCCATCAATTTCACAGCATGAAAAATTCTAAAGGATTCAGGAAAAAAAATAATCAAATGGTGATTAGAAAAATCAGATCAGAGAAAAAAATTATAAAAGCAATCCAACCACCCGAGCCATAAAAGCAAATACATTTGAAATGATTGAATAACAAAAGAGGTACGATTTATTTTGTTAGTTAGTATGCTTATAGGCTGCTCCAATCACTTAACTCTGGATGGCAAACAACTCTTAAAACATGTAATCTGGGATTGAAAACAAATCATAGAATGTAATACATGTAAAACTGGGACTCATTTTAACACAGTAAACCAATTCCTTACTTGGAAGGATATTAGTAATACTGTAATAAAATTAAAATAAAGCCAGATTGGAGCTACTAGTTGGTAACGTCATAGTTTTTGATTTTCACCAGAGAAGTTTTTTTCTGTAAAATTATTTTTGTATTATGCTTAAACCTTGTGAAATCTCACTCCTATGCTCTGTCTTATTTTAATGTACTATTACTGTATTAATATTGTTATCTAGGCCACAGATGTCAAACTCGCCGTGTCACTTTGCTGTCACATGACATTTCTGAAGTTGATACCCCTGACCTAGGTAGTTTGTGTGAATCAGTTATTACCTAGGATCTGGAAAGTTGTTTTTTTTTCTCATTCTAGAACTGCTCTAGAACTTTGTGGTGTTGGCCTGACAAAAGAGTTCCCTTGCCCTGGAGTTTCCTGTTCAAACTAAGCATAGTGGGTGGTGATAGGGCATCTTTTACAAGAAGGAATAGGAAGTCCACCCTTTGACTAGGAGAATGCCCAAAGAGAAGGATGAAAAAGGTGGGGATGAGGATCAAATGAAAGAACCGCTTTTGATTGCAAAGCTGAACAACTGCTCCCTCTTTTCTTTGCATACTGAAAAGATACCCTTTAAGGCAGCAGTGGTGGTGGTGGTGAGAGGGGATGGTTTTGTCCGCGCGCCCGCTACTTGCACAAATGGAGCTTTGCATGCTCATGAGCTCGCCTGCTTGCACAGCCTGGTTTCAAACAGGCCATGGCCCCATATTGTGCCATGGACCAGGGGTTGAGGACCCCTGCATTAAGGGACTCGGTAGCCTGTTCGAGTAACTTTCTTCCCACTGCTACTACTCCAAGGAAGGGTCTAGGATGTATGCCTAGCAAAAACCAGTCACCCATATGGTGATGCTTCCCAAACATTTTATCTGGAAGTGCATGTCTTATCACATCTTTCAGCTGTTCCTGTAAGACATTTTTCCAAGTTTCCGTGCTTAGCAAATGGCTCCAAACCTGCAAATGCCCCACACTATCCAACAAGCTTACACAAACTCAAAGTTCTCTTGATGGCCTGGACTAGAAACAATTACCAGGCACTCAAGGATCCAGAATGTCTGTTAAATATCTTTTATTTCAGTAGATCAAATAAGTCATTATGAAAAACAATGATTGTGAGGTTATCAAAAACAAATCCCATATAGTAGACTCAATGTTCACATTTTCTACCTCTATATCCTGTGTCACCTATGGATAAACTAATCCTAAATCCTCTATTATGGGTAGGAAGCCTCGTTTCCCTTTGTTAGTTGCTTGGATTGGAATCTGACATGAAGTTGTTTTACTTTGACTTTGTAAGAAAACAAATTTTCACACCTGATCATGACGAATTATCAGAATTTATGATTCCCAGATTTAGATGTTATCTTGTACTCTTGTCCACATCTTGTACTTTGTACCTCAAACTGAGCCTATCATATATAGTTTGATCATTTAACAATACTAATGTAATGCTCAGTATTGCTTATAATAACTATAGTCAGAAAAGGCAAGATAAATTTCCTCTATATAAAGAAAAAGTTTTTTTTAAGGAATAACAGTAAGAAATACACCGATAATTTTTTAAGATTTTCATGGCTGAGAGAAAGAATATTTGGACATCTTTCTCCACTTCACCTTCTTCATATTTCATTTTTCTCCTTTTTTGTCTAGCAGAATAATCTGGTATATATGAGAAAACTGAAATTATTCGTGGCATTAAATGAAATAGTTTTACTATTTTGAATGAATATAGATAATTTCAAACACTCAACTACACTTCCCTAAGAATGTGAACCTTCTGTTTCCATCACCTTCATACAACTTAGCCAATAAGTGATAATTCAGCTTCTAATAGACTAGAGCAGGGGTGTCAAACTGGCGGACCACGGGCTGGATGCCCACCCCAGCTCTACAAATGGGATAAATGTCGCACCACATCACATGACAGTAATATGATGCTGCAAGTTTCACACCCGTGGGTTCTTTTCTGATCTAAATAATAATGGAGGCAGAAAAATGTTCTCATTTATGCTGCTATCTATAGGTTTTAGACACTGTTTCTTGCTTAAAAGGATCCATGTATCTGCCTATTAATATAAAAAACAGTAGGTAGGTTTGTGATTAGGCCCAATATATGGAACAATTTTAAAACTTGCAAGTAAATTAGCATAATGTTCCATTCTGCCACTGTGACTGTGCCTATCTATTAAGATATTAAGAGATAATTTAGTGTTAATGGTTAAAGTTCCTGACTGAGAAACAAGAGACTATGACTTTTAGTCCCACTTTAGGCATGAGCAACAGCTGGGTGGCTTTGAGCCAGTCAATCTCTCAGCCCCTCAGTTATTTTATTCCATTACAAATTTGCATTTATATTGGGATCCCGCCACATTTTTTCCTCATATAACCTTGTAATATGGACTATATTAATGGTCCAAAAGATCCATGATCATATAGAAACTTCAACTTGGATCTCTATAGTGATTATGTAACATCTTAATGACTACATTTTTATTTAGACCAGGTAATTTCTAGTTGATAGCTTTTTATTTTCATTAAAAAAAGTTGTGCGATAAGGAATGGTTGGCTCCAGAACATGCCTTTTTCCTTTGGAATGGGATGTCTGGCATATTTTGGATGTGGTTCACATATTTCCAGAAGTGCACTTATCATAATAAGAAATAATTACTTTTACAATAAATTTCTTTCCTGACTGGAAATGCATGAACCATTCTACTCTAGAGAAAAAAAGGAATTTTGTACACAAGTATTCTTTTTTTGCTTCTTATCCTTATAATTTTTATCTTAATTTCTTTAAAAAAAATCTCTCTGCAACTTACATAGAATTTGTCCCGATCCTGACTGAGACATGACTTCAATGCTTGCCACTTTCACTCTGAATTCAGCATTCAAGGATTGATCTGTATTATGGGCTTCCTAATGTCATCTCCAAATGAAACACCAAGAAAGGAGACTAGGGATTAATGGATAGCAAGCTATTCACTGCTGATTTGTTTGTATGCCAAAATCTAGTCATGCCCTTTGTGGGAAGCTTATTGCCCTGCTCCCCCTCCTATTGGGATCTGTTGTCTTCTTGTCTACGTGCTGTCTGCTCTGGCACTGTACAACAGGAGCAGAGGAAAGCAAACATTCCTATCACTCTAGGCCAAGGGCGTGCTCCACGGCATCAATAATGGCTCCTCTGTTTAGCAAGCAACACTGCATCATCTTTAGTCATATCCTACACACTCTTGTCCTGACTGGAAAGAACCTTCATTGCACAGTTGGCCACTCTAATCCTATACAGGAAAGCTACCTGAGCCTGATGCCGGGGAAGTCATTATCCCCTTTATAGAATCAAACTTTAGACAATCAAGATAGATCTGAAACATATTTGCTCCTAGACTCACGGGCCAAATATTGTGATTACTTAAATGCTTGCCAACTACCCTAGATCAGTATCAATGTTTGATTTCACAATTTTGATATTGACCCACCACTAACATTTAGTCAGTGACTAAACACTGACATTTAGTGTTTAGTAAGTGAAGCCTGGACTAAAGTTTCTGTTTAGGTGTTCAACCAATCATGTGCTTTCCCAGATACTCCATTTTGTTTTTTACCCTCAAGGTTTCTTGATTTCTCCATTCCTGATCCAGTTGACAATGTTCTGTGGCTATCCAGCTTTAGTGGGCCAATATTCCTTCTTTTTGTGTGGGTATGTTCTTGTTGTTATTGGAATTATGTATATTTTGAATTGCCCGACATCAGCTGGCTTCTGTGAAATTATTTTTTGCTACAGATTGGCTGTGTGTATGAATGTCTATGAATGGTGCATTTGTATAGTAATGTTGTTACAAAGAAAGTCTAAAGTTTAAAAACATCCAGGATATCATTGAACTGCTGAAGCTTCAAAGGCATGACAAATACTTAAAATTGTGAGAGATTTAATCTTAAAGGACTCAGCATGATTTTACAGGTGAGTACATATAGCTGAATCCTGACTCACAGAATCAAGAGTTGATTCAATTTTAAATTGCAAATCTATAGAGGTGGGCTTATCTTGCAAGTCTGCCAAGATGGCTTTTACTTTCTACAATGCACTCCTTTATTTTGCAACAAAATTTTGTATCTTTTTCTAACAATGAGGAGCAATGGTAGCAGCTAAACAGTTTTTAGAAATAATATCTTATTTTTTTAAAAGAACAAACAAGCCACAATATAATGAAAGTATGCCAGGACCCACTGATATGAAAACACCTACATTGAAAACTTAACTTTTAAATTCTGATTCAAAACTTGGAAATGAAATCTTGTAATATGAGCAAATTTCAAACTTTTTATCTCACCTTTTGCTTGAGCCAAGCTTCAAAACTATAAACCTTTCTAGGTATGCTCTGACATAGATACTCAAGTGTTTGAATAATTTAATGACTGTGCTGGTCAATTTTGAGTGGGGGAGAAGATGAGCAACTAAACTCTTTTCTTCCATCATACATCATTTTCCAACTTCATCTTTGAGAATTAAAGCCATAGTTGCTTTAAACTTTTATTTGAACCATGTTTTTTGTTAAGAACCCTGCTTGAAAAATAACAAAAATGCATTGAAAAATTGGAAGATTAACACTTCTCAGTTACAATTTTTTGGAAAACAGCAGGTCTCTTCATAATGCTGGGGGTGGGGAAATGAAATGGAAAATCTGTTCAAGATGATACCATTATCTCCAAAAGGAACTAGATATAAAACACACAGGAAACAAACAAAAAGGGAGATGGGCATAATATGCCTTCCTTCAAGATAGATGAAAAATATAAGAGAACGACACAATTATACACCATGAATATTAAATAAATGAACCAATTGCCAGTTTGTCCCTGAGAAAGGCTGAAGAATTACAAAACGGGAGGTACTTAGTGACTTTGCTCAAGGAAATAGTTCTCAAAATTCAAAACAGCTGTATTATGCTAAAAATAGGTAATGATCAGAAGGAAGTGAGGTCTCAGCTGTATGTGTCCTGTTTTAGTAGATCTGAGGTATCGTTCTACTACTGGTGGCTCCTCGACCCAGCCAAGTCTGTGCTGGGCTTACCACAAGCACAGCTGGGTTTTTAGAAAGAACCACTCCATCCAAGTTGTTTGCCAAGTTTTTGGTAGAGTGCAGTGGAGTTTTAAGATTCAAGTTACCGGAAAGGATTCTTCCTGCTACACAATTCTGAGATATTCAGAAATTCTTCTTAGAGTGCCCTCAAGAAATGAGAGATGGATGACCAGAGGAAATAATCTCTAAGCGGTGGCATTCCAGTTATGATATAACCTTCCCAGAACAGGTCTTTTGATGCCATCTTTGTTGGATTCACATATAATACTAAGCCATCATGTGATTGCTATTTAGCTCACCATATTATGGAATCCTAGCTAACAATCAACCCATAGTACAGTAGCTTAGTAACTGTGTAAATTCAATATTTACCCCCTACAGAGCCAGAGTAATTCATATCTATTTATCAAATAGATTTTAACTTTTGATTCTCAATTTAAAATTGTTTTAACTTTTGATTCTCAATCTAAAATTGTATGTTTTAAAAATTAAAATAGTTACAATATTCTGTATTATTTTAAATTGCATTTTAAATCCTGTGCTATATGTGCTTGCAAGCTGCCTGCAGTACAAACTGATCAGCTAAATTTAATAATAAACAATACCGTATAAGCTTTTGTTGGCTTTAGAATGAATGAATCTGAAAAAGATCTGCTATCAACTCATTTTCTGAATTTGAGTAAATAACTCTGTACCTTTGCTGAATTTTAAAAAAAATCTTTAATACCGTCTGCCCTCTGTTGTCTTATTAATACACTACTCAGTTGTACAACCAAATCAATCAGCAATTTGCCAGCTGACTGAGCACAAAAATGCAGGAATTGATATATCCCTCTTCTCCCAACCAAATAAGAATAGGATCTGACAAAAAAAAAAGCAAATGCATCATCTCTGAAGCAGATTTGTAAAATATATCAAATGCTTCTGAAAACAGACTGGGAGAATTAGAACATTCAGACTAGCTATATGAAACTGCCTTGTATCTAATCATAGCCTGTCATTAGTTTGAAGTTATCCCAATATATGGCGAATATCTTGTCATGTAATGATAATAAGACTATTTTCAAAACGCAATGACTGAACAAAACTTAGTACTGGCCTTTAGTTTAAAGGGATAAATTAGGACAGAAGGTGGCAAAAGACAGAAGTCTAAGAAATCTCAAACTGCACAGGAAAGAAAAAATACCACTTGTATAGTCTAATTTAAAAATTAATATGGCTTTTATTGCTTAGATAATCATCATCATGTTAAAGAAGGGTAAAACCACCATCAGATTTATTTAAAAATTACTGTTTTGGAATAGTACTGTTCAAAGCTTTCCATATATAAAGCATTAGTAATCCCCATTTAATCATTTCTACTTGTTCATTAAGTATGTCACTTTTCTTCTCTGACTCAAAAAGTGGATATTGATTGAGGCTAAGAGACAATAATTTGTCTAATGTTAATGAGTCATTACATGACACAGGTATGACCTTCACTGTGGTTTTATCAGCTCATACTTGGCTTATAACAGTATGTGCTTTCATAGGAGCTACTCATATTATAGTCAATAGAATTTAATTCAGAGTGAATGTAAATAGAATTGTGTTCCTAATTATAAAGCATTTAATCTATGTAAGTATGTCATAAACTGGTATCTTTAAAAGATAAGTAGTTCATGTAGTTAGCCTTGACTTATCATGGCTGAGCTCAATTTGCACATTTTATGATTAACAACTTTGACAAAACTAAAAGCACACTAAAAGATTTTAAAGATTAAATAAAATGACATAAAATTTTGTCCAAAAATAGCATGGATAAGAATGAATAAATAAATAAAATAAGAACTAGGACCTAATTCAATCTTTATTTTAAAAGAATATTGCAACAGAACCAAGATACCAAATACTATCATTCTCTTTAAAATAATCTACATTCTAGAAGTTACTTGATAAAGAATTTAAGAAAAAAGGCCACCCTATTACTCAGAAAAAAATACCTTCAAAATTTCACTTCTTTCTTGGCCTGTATTCTGTATTCACTTATCTTTATCTGAAAACAATACCATCAGCTATAATATCTAATTCAGGGCAAGGAACGAATATCCATTTAAAATGGTTTGGATAGAATAGAAAGCATTTTGCTTGCTTTTTAGACCTGGATTTTATATTCTCAACTTGATACCAGAAGGAACTAGATTCAAATGTGCAATTTTTTTTCTTGACTATCTAGCTGTATTTAAAGATAAAAACTACAAGCCTATAGGCAATATTAACACAATTGAAGTCATTTTCACATTTTATTTTTAAAATGTCAAATAAGATTTGAATTCATTTACTTATTTACATTAACAAGCAATATTAATACAGTTGAGGTTATTTTCACATTTTATTTTCAAACAGATATCAAGTAAGCTTTGAATTAATTTGCTGTAGCTGTTCATTTACTTTGACATAAACAACTTTAAAATTTTGGCAAAGATCAGAAGCTATGGAAGCACCATAGATTCTAGATTCCATAAAAACTGTTCCCCAATAAATTGCGCCGAATATTTACACAATATATTTTTCAGATGTAATCCTCAAATCATCAGGACAAATATATTGGCTCAAAAGATTGTGATGATAAAATAAAATTTCTGGGCCACTGCATTTGGAAGACAAATTTCATCCCTTTAAAGAATTCCTACAACTTTTCTGAAGCAAGAGATTGTGAATATTTTCCTTTCTGGGTTAAAAGAAAATACCAAGAAAAACAATGACAAAATAGACATACCATACTTCACTGTATGAAAGTTACAAAATTAATGCACTTGGCTCCTGACCCAGAAAGCACTTCAATGCTTTCCTGAAGCCAGCTCAGATCCATTTGGGAATTACTGAGTAATACACACATGCAGAAAACATAAAACCTACCACCAAAGTTAAATGGTATGGAGTCACTGGCTCTATTTACAGCAAACCTAGATGGAAACAAGACTTTCTTCTGTGTATAGATAAAGCTGGAACACAGCTTGCTGAGCAACATTTTCAGTATTAATATTGTACAATGAATTAATGTACTTCAGAATCCCAATGTTACATTTTTATTCTTTAGTTAAGCTTCCCGATGACCAACATCAATTCAGGTTTTTTAAACAGTAGCACCAAAAAGACAAAGCAGCATATTTCCCTTTTTCCCTTTGTGGTTTGTTCTGCATGATTGTAATTTGAAAATAGCTTTTTCTTACCTTGTGATATGCATGATTTAACTGTATAAAATTTCGAACTAAAGCCACATGAATTCTCACTTTCATTTACAGTACTCAGTCTTCCTTTGGCTCTATTTAAGACTATTCACATGAGTAAGTAATCTGAATATGACAATTTGTCAGCAGGCAAGAATATTTAATTGGTAAAAAAGATACTCCTTCACCAGAAATATAAATTTACTATGCTATTTGCAAAGCTGCTTAAAGTGGGACTCACATTAATTGACAGATCTCTTTGTAGCAAAAAGTAATATAATGAGTAATTTGATTGTAGGAATTGCAAGTAAGGCCAAGTTGTTTAAATGTTAGGAAAAGCTCAGCAGTAAAAACTATGTTAATAGTGCAATCCTGTAGCGGTTTGTCCAAAAGCCATTCCATCTGTATTTAGTGAATTTTGAATCAGTAAACTTACAATCTGAAGTAAATACTAGAAAAGCTAACTATGATCTAATGAGTTAAGTGTTCACATGGCAAATGCTGCTTAGCTGGAATAAGTGACCTGCAGTAGGCATCCCAGCACAACCAAGTTTTTATCAAAAAATAAAATCAGTAATGTAGTGCAATATTATTTCATATTTATATAACATCGCTGACCAGAAAAAATACTGCTCATGGTATTTAGCAAAATCATTTTCTTGGCTCTTACTACTTTACTTTGGTCAGAAATCACCCCCAAAAGCCTGACTTGATAATTGTTATTGTCAGATGTATTATCTCTGCAGCTGTATTGAATCTTAATATCAAAAAAGTGTTCTGTCTGACATCTGGAATGTCTCTGTATGACATGAGAACTACCACAACTCAATTATCATACATACATGACCTTTTCTTGTACTAAGGGATCTGTAGCCCAATTATCATTATTATAGAATTCTTCCTAAATCACAACATACAGTATTTCTTGATCTACAAACATTTGTTTAGTGACTGTTCAAAGTTACAGCAGCACTGAAAAAGGTGAGTTATGACTGGCCCTCCTACTTATAACCGTCACAGCATCCCATGGTCAGGTGATCAAATTTCAGAGACTTGGCAACCAGTTTTGGGTGTCATGTGATTGCCATGTGCAACCATCCCAGCTGGCTTCCAACAAGAAAAGTCAATAGGGAAAGCTGGATTTGTTTAACAACTGCATGATTCACTTAACAATTGCACTGATTCACTTAACAATTGCACTGATTCACTTAACAACCAAGATCATGGACACGACTCAATTAATAACTTCCTTGCTTAGCAACAGAAATTCTGGTCTCTATTGTGGTCATAAGTCGGCAACTACCGGAATCGAGCTTAAATTTGTAATAAATACAAAACAAAAAATATTCTGGATAGATCCATGTAAATAATCCATTCTACGCTAGGGTTTAAGAAGTGTCTGTCAAATATTTAACTTAAAAATAGATGATGTTCAATAAGCTGCCTAGAGATATTACAAAATCTAAACAATCAGGTTTATACATGTCATGATTAAAAAATTCAGTATTAAGGGTGTTTGTGGTTTTGCTAAATGTTAGGAATGAAAGGTATTCCAACATCGGTTGGATTTAATATGTAGACTAAATTACATGGCAAAAAACCAAAACTGATAAAGAGATAAAGTTTAAGCTGTTTTCTCTAATGGTACTAAACGGGGAAATC